ACATTTAATTATGTTCTTCTTCTGTTATATTAAAAAACATGCTTCAGCAACAAACCTCTGAATTTATTCTAAAGGCTAAACCTGAGACTGCATGGAACTCTGCCCTTCTGCTCTAGAATATGCTTAGCATAAGGCTGAAGGTGATACTGAAAGGAGAAGCATGATGACAAATCTCTCCAGATTCTGAGAATGAAATAATGTTCAGATCGATACTATACCTCTTCTGTGGCCGGCTTTTTGGCTAGCTGGGTTGAAATCAAGGGCCTTAGCCTACAAACAAACAAAAAGAGTGAAAAAATGTTAGGTTCTTAATAGAGCAGAAAGAAACTCAATCCTTTTATTTTGAAAATACTATACATATAGGTGAATATACAGATCCAACATACTATACTCTTTTGCTTTCAGCAATTTTTATGTAGAGCACAGGTAAAAAAATAAGAAATAGTAGTAAAAAAGAAATTGAAGACCAAAATATAAGAAAAAAGGAGGAAACACAGTTTTAATATTTTACACCAAAATATCTCACTGTAATTCTCTGTATTGTTCTGTCATTGGTCTCATTGAATCCATACATTACCTTTTGTTCTTTAAACTTCTTACCTCTCTTTTTTTAACAATCCCATCAACTCTATCCAATGTCTGCTTTTTAAATTTCTCCTTACTTTTAACCAATTCACTCTTCTTTCATTTATTTGTGTTGGAATTCACTCCCCACTCATTCTTAAGGTCAAACCTTCTCAACCTACTTTATCTTCACTAGTGAATAACTTCTGTTTCCAAACCATATTCAACCAGCGTCCATTCATTCTGGACTCTCTCTCTCTTCTTGTTTTACCACACATATTTATGAGTGCCCCATCTCCACTGCATTGAACTCTTATTTTTCCATTGAAATACCAAATTTTCACTAATATTTAACAAAATAGACAGAAGCACCCTCTTTTACACAGCCATTTTTCTTCTTTTAATGAATTTGCTACATACTGCATATGTGTACTGGTACATTAACATACCAGACCAATTTTTTTTATTGAAGATTCTGTTTGTATTTTACTTTATTTACAAATGTACTGAACTACTAAGGGGACATATTCTTCCTGATTCCTAGCTCAATAAATATTCCACTTATTTTCAGGAATGCTTCAGTTAAATTGTATACCATTTACAACATTCAACAACCAGCCTTCAATCCCATTTTCATGCAAACATTCTATAATTCAAGCCTATTACATTATCAACATTTGCTTTGAGTTAAGAAATGTATAATAAACATTCTGATCTTCCAATGACCTGTTGTAAATTTCCTGCCTGGCACAACTTGTATTTGTTTTCTTCTTTGTATACCAGAATACTCTGAAATGATTCCTGGTACCTGACATCATTAAAATAAAAATATTCATAAAACAAATACATAAAATTAATACTAATTAAACTATGAACCAACTCCAGCATCCATAATCCATTTGACATATAAAAACAGGGCTTTTTTTCTCGGAGAAAAGGTGGCGGAACTCAAACCTGGCCACGCCCTCATCAAACCCTAGGACCGCCCCTTTAGAGAACAGGAATGCAAGTAAAATTTGGGAGGGGCTATTTCCGGTGTGGGAGGGGCTATTTCCGGTGCGGCCGGCCCGGAAAAAGGTGCCGGAACGCGGTTCCGCCGCGTTCNACATTTAATTATGTTCTTCTTCTGTTATATTAAAAAACATGCTTCAGCAACAAACCTCTGAATTTATTCTAAAGGCTAAACCTGAGACTGCATGGAACTCTGCCCTTCTGCTCTAGAATATGCTTAGCATAAGGCTGAAGGTGATACTGAAAGGAGAAGCATGATGACAAATCTCTCCAGATTCTGAGAATGAAATAATATTCAGATCAATACTATACCTCTTCTGTGGCCGGCTTTTTGGCTAGCTGGGTTGAAATCAAGGGCCTTAGCCTACAAACAAACAAAAAGAGTGAAAAAATGTTAGGTTCTTGATAGAGCAGAAAAAAACTCAATCCTTTTATTTTGAAAATACTACACATATAGGTGAATATACAGATCCAACATGCTATACTCTTTTGCTTTCAGCAATTTTTATGTAGAGCACAGGTAAAAAAATAAGAAATAGTAGTAAAAAAGAAATTGAAGACCAAAATATAAGAAAAAAGGAGGAAACACAGTTTTAATATTTTACACCAAAATACCTCACTGTAATTCTCTGTATTGTTCTGTCATTGGTCTCATTGAATCCATACATTACCTTTTGTTCTTTAAACTTCTTACCTCTCTTTTTTTAACAATCCCTCAACTCTACCCAATGTCTGCTTTTTAAATTTCTCCTTACTTTTAACCAATTCACTCTTCTTTCATTTATTTGTGTTGGAATTCACTCCCCACTCATTCTTAAGGTCAAACCTTCTCAACCTACTTTATCTTCACTAGTGAATAACTTCTGTTTCCAAACCATATTCAACCAGCGTCCATTCATTCTGGACTCTCTCTCTCTTCTTGTTTTACCACACATATTTATGAGTGCCCCATCTCCACTGCATTGAACTCTTATTTTTCCATTGAAATACCAAATTTTCACTAATATTTAACAAAATAGACAGAAGCACCCTCTTTTACACAGCCATTTTTTCTTCTTTTAATGAATTTGCTACATACTGCATATGTGTACTGGTACATTAACATACCAGACCAATTTTTTTTATTGAAGATTCTGTTTGTATTTTACTTTATTTACAAATGTACTGAACTACTAAGGGGACATATTCTTCCTGATTCCTAGCTCAATAAATATTCCACTTATTTTCAGGAATGCTTCAGTTAAATTGTATACCATTTACAACATTCAACAACCAGCCTTCAATCCCATTTTCACGCAAACATTCTATAATTCAAGCCTATTACATTATCAACATTTGCTTTGAGTTAAGAAATGTATAATAAACATTCTGATCTTCCAATGACCTGTTGTAAATTTCCTGCCTGGCACAACTTGTATTTGTTTTCTTCTTTGTATACCAGAATACTCTGAAATGATTCCTGGTACCTGACATCATTAAAATAAAAATATTCATAAAACAAATACATAAAATTAATACTAATTAAACTATGAACCAACTCCAGCATCCATAATCCATTTGACATATAAAAACATTCTACTGTGTTAATAGCATTCCTGTACACCAACAGAAAGGGGACCATTCACATCTCCAGGGGGAGGTTATTTCAAACAAAAGAAGCAAAGATACTGTAGTCTTACTTCATATATGTATGTATGTGTGCATGAGCATGTATAAGCTATCTGGAAAGGCCAGCTCTTCTTAAAGGAAATGAATGAGGGGAGACTAAGGACTGAACGGTGTCACGCAAGAGAGTGAGTACACACACACACATACACATACCACACAGACACAAACATATTTTCTTACTTTCATTTATGTGTTTGTTTAGCCATTATTAGCTGTTCAGTGCCGTTATGAGATGGGCAGCCGCATAAATCTAGATAAATAAATAAATATTTGTTGTCTGATTGGCCCAAGGACAATATTGACCAAATCAGACCTCCTGAAAACTGATTAGCTTCCTGGTGGTTTCATGTAGAAAAGTTCTGTTACAATAAACTTGATAGGCAGTGCACAAAGTAGAAGTCTTTGGCCAGATCTATCCTTTCCTCACTACTACCAACTAGACCTGTCCTCTCACAATCGTGGAGAACCAATGTGAAACCATGCCCACCCCCGTCAATCACTCAGAGGCAGCCCAGAAGAATGCCAGGGTCAGTAATCCTGACAGCCCCTGAGAGTTCAAAGAGGATCAGGATTGCAATCTCTACTCCACAAGTCATCCACAAGGACAACCAAAGCAGCTTCTATACTGAGCTTTGGCATGAAGCCCAATTGCAAAGGATGTAAAACTCAAATATAAAGCAATTTGTTGAACTACTAGCTTTACATGCAGAACCTGTACAAAATGAAAAATAAAGAACAGAAAACAAAAGGATACTTTGACAAGAATTATTTATGAACAAAGATCATATAACTACAGCTCAGTAACAACTACCTCATCGTAAAATCTTGGCATATCACCCAGAAAAATGCTAGTTTTAATGATAAAAGGACTACATTATTCATTTATAACATGAATAACAACTGTTTTTCAATAAAAATAGTCTCAGAATGGCATTACAATAAATAAAAATAATAAAATTCTAGCAAATAGAAATATAAACCAAAGGAGAAAAACAACAGTCCAATTCTGATACAGAATATGAGTAACAAAAATTATTCTCTTTTGTATAATGCCATGCTACTGAAAATTAATAATTTGTACACTTGATTAAATGTAACTCGCTCACAAAAATTTAGATGGCACAAAAATATATTGCTCTTCAAGGTGCAACAAGACACAGTTATTGCTACGTTCTGGAAAATTGTTCACTTGATGCCAAAAAGATATTAGAATCATTTTTTCTGTTATACTGAGGTGTTTTAGTTTATGTTTTAATAGAGTTTAACATTTTCATTATAGTTCTTTTTATCTGCATAATTATTGTTATTGTTAGCCACTCTGAGAACTGCATTTGGTAGACAAGTAAGGATATAAATAAAAACACTCCCCCCCCCCACTTTTCCTGGAAAGATGATTCGATGTACAAGATGCTAAGATTAGTTAAACCATCTAACTTTAGAATACAGGGGGAAGAAACTGCAAGAAGCACCTCTGATAAACAAACTAAGCACAACTTAGTAGTATTTAAAGTGTACACTTTAAAAATCTACAGTATGAATATGACAAATATGTATACCACATAAATATCTTTGGGGGTTGGCCTAAACCAAAACTAATGATAGCAACAATAGTTTATATTCTCAGTCTATCCACACCATGTTTTATATATGAACAGCATAAATGAATTTGTCAAGTTAAGTTTGGTCCTCTAGGCCAAAGGTCTCCAATCTTTATCGGTTGGTGGACCGAAGGGAAAGGGAGGAAGAAACATTTTACACATTCGTGCATGCACACACAAAAACGGGGTCATGAGCATGCACAACGCAAACGGGGCAATGCTAGTGTCCACATGACACTTGCTAGCACAGCCCCATTTTTGCCATGTGGTGCCCTGTTTTTGCTGCACAGAGCCCCGTTTGCATAGCGGCAGTGGAGCTAGCGTGAGTGGGGTAGTGGGCCACGGCCCACAGGTTGGGGACCCCTGCTCTAGGCATCCAGGCAAGTGGCAGATGATAGCTAAACATTTCCACGGTGTAAACTTTGGCTAACTGCAACCTGAATGTGTGAAGGGGCCTTTATTATGCAGCTATACCTGCCTTCATTTTTCAAATCCACGTTACATGTAAAATACACAAAATCTGAAAGCAAAATTATATTTGTGCTTTGAAAATGGAAAAAAGAAATATAGAGAAGGAAGTCCTCAACAGTCTGGTTACATGCTGCTTCCTTAAGGATTGCAAATTTCTTCATTTCCTCCCACATTCAAGAACAGAGAAGAGGAAGTCAGGTGAGTCACTAAATTGGTTGCTGTATTGGCTTTCCTTAAAAAAAAAAATCCAATTCTTATGGAAAGTCTGAATTATTTTGTTTTCTTCAAGCAGGAAATACTGCCTTGTTTCTGTTAAACTTCCAAGGCACATCTAGATAACTTTTGAAAGTAACGTTAGTCCTCTTCCATCCTAATTCTTCCTCACACTTGGGTTTCTTTCTAAGTCATTCTTCAGCATTTTAATAGAGGTTGTGGGTAAAAAGTCACTATCTTATGGGAAATCATTGCACCATTGAATGATAAAATTTGGTAGGCATTTTTTCTGCACTGTAATTACAGTAAGCCACTCCTAACATATAAGGCAAGGAATTCAATACATTGAAAATAATAATTTTTAAAAGTTGGAGCAGGCCACTTTATCCAATTTTCCCTCTTTAGATTTACTGCCATTTTGTGATAAATGTACAGCTTTCATTAGTCATTTATAATACTAGCATAATATTTCACCCATTAGATACAGTGTTTTGTTTTATAAGTCAGAAAGTCAAGTTCTCAAACATCAAAGAATTAATAATAATTTATTTTCAACAGGAAATTAATCTATATCCCACACAAATATATATTTTGCCCAAAATGTGCCAGGAGGGGAAGATGAGATGCAAGAGTAATTAGCCTCTTATTTCTGCTCTGCTAGTCATCTTATAGATAAGACTTGTCCATTAATGTTCCTTAAAATAATAGCAAAATACAGGTTGTAATTCTACGTCAACCTAACTGGGAATAAATCCCATGGATTATACTGTCCACTTTCCAAAGTATTTGTAAAGTTTTGGAAATGCCAATAGAGAAGGCAAAATGTTAAGAACCAGGAATTCCCATGTGAAAAGAAAAGTAAGGTTGAAATAGAACTGAAAGTAATGATCACCATCATCAATTGCATTTTGGTCAACTGTAGAAATGCACTTTTAAAAATAGCATAAAGCTCACAGCCAGGGACTGAACCAACTCTCCCAAAATGATCTGATGATTCCACTAAATCAAATGTGACTCAGGTTCATATTCCCTTTCAATTGCCAGACAAAACTGTTCATCAGGACCACTACGTTGCTACCTATGGCAGAGAATATTTGTAGCTCAGGATTGAACTGTGGGGTTCTTAGTTCTTGCAGAGCTTGAAACAACCAAGTTCAGAGGGCATTAAGGACCCCACAAATTGCTACCTATTCAGAATTCTGACCAGAACCCTCTGCTAAATGCCTTTCAAAATTGAAGATACTATACAACTTGGTTCTGTAATATAAACACAGGATTTAAAACAATCAATACTGGCTCTTCCTGTTAATCTCTTTCCAGTGCCTTCTCTCTCAAAGAAATATTCCTTGCCTGTTACCTGCTATGCATAGCTTGGTGTTTTAAGTTCAGAGCATACTAATTAACACCCGATTTAAAGTGGATTTCAGAATATTTTTCAGAACTATTCTAGTGCACCTTCCCTTTCACATTCACCCTTTGCTATCCATGGTTACCACAGAGCCATTTACCTCAGTATAAGATGTATAGCTCCTTAGAGAGCAAAGTTACAATCTATTTGTAAAAGGCAGCTCCAGCATAAATAGCTGACAGGTTATCAGTAGCATTTGCACATCATTACACATCAGTAAAAACATGTTAAAGGATATTAATTTTAAAAGTAACAGCCAGCTTATACTCATTCATGTTATTACCAGAATATGTTGGTCCTGACATGGTAG